CACTAAAAAAGTGCATACACTAACAGAACCACCGGCGAAGACTGAAGCTCAGCCTCTCGTACAAATAAAAACAGTACAGAAATGGCAGCGTGACCTACATGACATAGGCTACATTGCCGACAAGGATAACAACACTGTCAAAATATGGTGTGAGGTGTGCCGGGATTCCCCCAAACAGTCGGACAAAACCTCATCGGTATGTGAATATAATAGTCTGAAATTGTATGTTTGTAGTTTTAAGTTCAAATAAACGCAACATTCCATTCATGATTTTGTTAATATTTAGAACTATATAAATTCGAAGCAAGTACGATTTCGTGAGGATATTAAAACGAAATCTGCACAATCTTGCTTTAAAATCAGGGGAGTCCCGCTATCTCGGTACTGACTGTGCTTTTAATAACATTTTTTATGGAATACGCTCCCAATATATCTACATTTAATTGTATTGCTCGACCAGAAACAAATTATAAAAAACATATTCCCAAACGGTTTAAATGATTGATGGGCAGAGGTACATATATACGTAACCGGGGATGTGGTGTTTTTTCCCATTCAATTTATATATTTGTTGATTTATGTAACTTACAATCAAATTACAGTTTGTTACAATTTATTATAATTGAGCAATAAAGTTGAAATGAGTTAAATAATTGAATTTTATTAATAAAATTGTGAAAATTTGGGTTGTCACTGATGACTGAATACTTTTTTAGTAAATTGTAATAAATACTATAACAAACAAAATGTGTTAATGTATTATATAAAATAATAGATATAAAGTTTAAGAGGAGTATAATATTTAATTTAAAAACCTATGACTCACTGAGTAAGTTCATGTCTAATTGTTGCACTATGTTATCCAGTCCCGGCATATGTAATTTTTGATTTAAATTAAAATGTCATTATATATTATACCTGTCCAGAAGTTTAATGTCCAGCGTACAGTTAATTTGGTCAAATTAACATGATGATTGTAAACTCTTGTCACTGACAGTAGAATCACACCCTCAATGTTGCAAACATTTTTGTCCATTGCAGTTGGTGACCGGTTCCCAACGTGTAAAAAAAGAATCAATCATCCAACACCGAAAATCCCAAGGCCATGCGAGGGCAGTCGGTGCAAGGACAGCCCAGAATATGTGTAAGAAAAAAGAACCAGCACCTCTTGAAAAGGGTTTCCAGAAAGTGGATGAGCAGGTGATGGAGAAAATGGACAAATTGTTTCGATCTGCATATTACCTTGTACAGAAAGAACGACCATTTAGTGATTTCAAAGATATTTTGGAACTGCAGACATTAAATGGTTTGAGTATTGGGGAAACATATTTCAACAACAAGGCAGCCAAAGAATTTGTTGGAGAAATAGCTGGCTTTTATTATACTGAACTTAAAGAACTGCTGCAAAAAGCTGATTATTTCAGCATTTTCTGTGATGGCTCAACTGACAATTCTGAGGTTGAAAAGGAACTCATAATGGTGAAGGTTTTGGTTGACTTTTATCCTAGGATGAAGTTTCTTAAACTAGCCCAGCCAGCCAATACAAAAGCTCAAGGAGTACTTGATGCAATTGACAAAGCGTTTGAAGAGATTGGTCTCCAGGACTATAAACAGAAATTGGTTGGATTTTGTTCAGATGGCGCCAATGTCATGATGGGAAAGAAAAAGGGGGTCATTAGTCTGCTGAAGGAACAAGGTAACGCAGACTGGGTTTTGTCAGTATGGTGTTTAGCGCATCGACTGGAACTGGCCATCAAGGACGCATTTAAGCAAACCTACATGGACACAGTAGTTGATGTCTTACAACTGATCTTCTACTTCTACAGAGGCTCTGCAAAACGCAATAAGGAGGCACATGACATTGCTGACATGATGGAAGACCATTTCTACAAACCTGCCAAAGCTAACGGAACAAGATGGGTTGAACACAAGTTGATGGCTGTTGCAAAGTTGAAAAGCAATTGGAAAGTGATCGTCATGCACATCATGAATTATGCGGAGGACAATACAAACAGAGGGGAAGATCGAGCCAAGGCCAAGGGTATCATTGCAAAATTGCTACAGTACAAGTTTGTATGGTATATGTACTTCATTAAGGATGTACTCTTGGAAATTACCAGAATCAGTCTGTTATTTCAGCGTGAGGACATTACCGTTACAAGTGCAGTCACGAAAGTGCAAAGTGCCCAACTGTCTCTTAGAGATATGATCAACAACCCTGGTCCAACTCTACGTGAATTTGACCAGGATGTGGTTGGAGACCAACACAAGGACCATACACTTCGCAATGTTGTGGCTCAGGATTGCCTGAAAAAGCAAAAAGGGACCATACTTCAGGACATCTTGGACTGCATCCAAAGAAGGATGGAAAACTTGATAAGTGAAGATCCTGTGTATGAGTTGCAATGCCCTTGACTACAAGAACTGGCCAGATGTCAATGATGGAACAGGTATTCAATTTAACTAAATCAAATGAATGTACAGCAAGGTTATGATAATTTTTTTAAAATTAAAAACAACAAACAAATTAATACTTGCAATAATATTATTTAATTCCAATTATAATGCTTGATATTTTACAGCTCTTCATCAGTATGGAGTTGAAGACATACACGTCATTGCAGACCACTTCCACACACTGCTCGCAGCAGCAGGATATGATCCCATAGCAGCCCTAGCAGAGTGGACAGAGCAGTAACCCACACTTTAGAATTGTCCATCCCTTGGCTGTGTGGCAGAGAGTGAGTCAGGAGGATGTCAACAGACAGGAGTATGCCAACATTCTCAAGCTCATCCACCTGACAAGTATATATCCTCTCTCCAATGCCACATGTGAGAGAGGATTCTCCACAATGGAAAGGATAAAATCAGACTGGCGGTGTAGACTTAACAATGAAACTATTGACATGTTGATGAGGGTTGACATGGAGGGACCCAAGATAGCTGACTTTGCACCAAGACCATTCGTCAACAGGTGGTGGATCAATGGCCGGCAGACAAAGCGCCCAACCACCTTGCCATATGGGCCCCACCAGTAGAAACGCTATACATGCCGTTGGATGATTCTTAAATAAAATTTTGACGTCCAAATATTTTGCTTCTTGATTTGTCAATTTGCTTTTAACTTTTGAAACCACAAGCAACAGTTTGCTTGTGGATTTAAAAATTAAATTCAATCCTTGGGGCTACCAAGTTTGTTTAAATGTATGACCTTGAATCATATTCAAGGTCACAAGGAGCAAATATGTTCAAAATATAAAAAAAAACGAAAAAAGCCAACTTGTTCTGAATAACCAAAAGGCTCAGGATGTTGATATTTAGTCAGTAGCATGCTGGGATCAAGGACTACTATGTTTGTTAAAGTGAATGACTGACTTATATTCAAGGTCACAGGGGTCAAATATGTTTAAATCTTTAAACGACCTCTTCTGAATAACCATGGGTCCCAGGATAATGATACTTTGCAAGTTGCATCCTGAGATGAAAGGCTATAAAATTTGTTCAACATAATGACTTTGTTCGACTTTAAATCACAGGGGTGAAATGTTTAAGAAAAAAATAACAGGTTCTTTTGAATGAATTTTAATCATAAATACTGATATTTTATTTTGCCTGTAGCTAGTGTTGGGAAATTGGTTGAAAATTATAATCGATCATCGGTTGGAATCGGATACCCTATCCGATCCGATAATGGGTGAAATAATCGGTTTACTTTTTTCAATGCGTGTATGGAGAAATTATAGTTTTGTAGCTTTTAGCTTCCATTATAGTAAGAAATAAACTATCTGTCTTCAGTTCCATGTATTGCTTGTGCTTACTTTGTATTCTGTTGTAGTACCCTCTGATCCCTTATCACCCTCTGAAGTATGCTAGTTAGCTTGTAACATAACTGCATGGCGAGCATGATAGTGCTTATGTGTATGGATCACTAACCAGTCCCTTTATGCACTATGGAAACTGGGGGTTCTAACTAGTATTAAACTACAAAACCAAAGTTAACAAGCATCACTTTGAATGATTTTTGGATTTCTCAAATTACTTACTAAGTACTAACAACACAAACATGACAAATAAAGATAAATTGCTTTTATTAAACATTTATAAATTTACTTGACCAGACAGCCTTCTTGACCAAATTATTTGAATAACACAAATCA